CAATCATTTAATATGTACTCGTAATTACTTTACTTTCTCTTAAAATAAAATGACATAAAATCTAGAACGAATATTGTAATTCGAATGACAAATGTTAGTTGTCTTCAAACAGTAAGGCTCAGAACGCATCTGTTGACCTTGAAACTTTTCTCATATATTGAAATTAAAGTGGACTAAATTTCAGTGAAAATGTACTCTGAAATTCTGCACAGTATTCGTATATTTCAGTCGCATCTGTCCATCGGGTTAGTTCATTTGGAATTAGTTATGTTGAAGGTTTTAATTAAATCAGTTCGTATTGCAGTTCCTGCCTTAATTAAATTGAAAAGTACTTTTATTTCATCTAATATATTTATTTATCTAGTATTGGAATATTGTAATTTTGTGATTATGTCCAGAATCCTTTTATAGTAGCATTCTTGCTGACAGTGCTGAAGACTGCTTGTGACAAGGAGAACTTTACGTTATGAATATTGCAACCGTAGAGATAGGTCTAGGAAGGGACTTCGTGGACTTTGTTACAGCGTGATTAAAAAAAGGATTGGGGACTTTAATGACGAACGACCTCACACCCATATAGAGTCGGATAAGGACAGGGATGACGACTCTAGGCCTTGCTAGATTATCAAGCTTTGTTTCTATGTCTATCTGATTTGATATGTTATCTGCATGTGAACGGGATTACTTTTCGTACTCTATCAATAGCGATAGCTCATCCATCCTGTAATTGCTAAGTTAAATCAGTAACCATTATTGTAAAAATGTATCTCATATTAAACCATATTCTTTTCTTTTAATTCAGTTTTTTTTCTTATTTTTTTCAAATGTTATATTGTGCCAGGATTAATTATTGTCACACAAATAAATGTTAACGCTTGTTAGCTTCCTTGGTAATAAATTAATAATTTTATGTACTTTATAATTAATTAATTAATTGTTGCATTGACTCATAAAAGAATTTTTATTTGTGTGTATGTATGTTTTCTTTCTACCTATATCAATTGCTTTGGGACCTCTTACAGCCTAAACGGCTGAGCCGATTTTGATGATTGAGGTGTCATTTGTTTCGTATTTTTCCAAAGTTTTTTATATGTTTATGGCCAGTTGTATTTATTGATTAAAAATGTACAATAGTTTTTGTAATCTCAGAACTTGATGCCAGTTCTCACTAAAGCTATGCATAACTAGGGCGTCAGTTCCACACCATAGCTGTGATAACTTATCTCGTGGTGTCAATAAACCTAACGAGGTCGTGGTTTCCTTGCATTGAACCAAAGTACTTCCCTTCAAGAGGATTTGTGGGATGAGAGACATTGCATACTAAAATATCAACCACACTGAAATGGTTATATTTAAAATTATTGGTAACAGACTAACATGATTAGTAATATTATAGAACAATAATGTCGCAATTTTTTCTATTTTTCTTTTGTTATAAAAAAAGTTATTATGCTACTTTGTGATTTAAATCCAAAATTAATGGACAAGTAAAATTTAAAGGAATGTATCGGGTTTCTCAAATATTAGTAAAGCAGTTTTTAAGTACAAAAGCTAATCATGTAAGACTTGAGACATAAAAGTCATATTAGATTGTAAGTAAGAAAACTGAATTATCGAATAATTTATTGTTATTGTCCCGAAACTTTTACAAGTCCGTAAAAGGATCGTAACTGATATAGGACAGAACATTACTATCAATGTAAAGGGACATAAAAACTCGAACAAAGTCGATAAATACAATAAAAATGTAATTCAAGCTGCGGAAATATTTCGTTATTATCCACGCGATGTATTGAAAATTCGAAACTGAGTTATTACAAACCCCAACGCATACTTTTGTAAAGAGCATGTACTGAACATGGGTTTCCGAGTCTCCCAAAATCTTTGTATAAATCATATCGTCAATCCAATTTATTATCTTTGAGATAACATAAGTAACAATATGTTTTATTAGAGATTTTTAGTCTTAGAAACCCACCGTGAGTAATTAACAATTCGTAGTAAGAGATGCGACACATCCCAATGAAATAAAGTCATATGTTAAACTTTTACTCCACAAAATTGCTATACACACATACATAATGTATTGGTAAAAATCATTGTCTATGAAAAGGGCTTTTTAATATTTTACCAAGTATTTATAACAGTTTAGTACCAATAAATCTGAGTCCCTAATATCTGAAAAGGTAAAATACCTAGAAGATATTTTTTAAATATTTAAACCGTAACTAGCTGTCACTAGGAAAACATAAATCCGTATATTATTATGCTCGTTAAAAGCACTTAATGAAGCTATAGCATGCTGTAAAAGAAAACGATTCCAAAGAGCCAATAAAACACGGAATGGTAATAACATCGCTACGGATACGGGAGAAGTACTTGAAAGCTTTGTGCTTGTTGGACACTGCTTCAAAAGCGAACAAGAATCTACGTAAACTTTAATATCAACCTGGTTTATTTCAACGAATTATTAAGAAGCTAGGGATAACTTTAAGTTAATTTTTTGCTATGTTTTAATGTTTTTCGCTTCGCTTTCGGTACACTTTGTTGTGTGCTACAGGACTAAGCGCATTCGGTATGTTAGACACAAACATAATAATAATTGGATTGCATTTGGCATCGCAGAACACAATATTGCATTTCGCTAACTAATTCGCTAACCTACCAAATGCTGTCAGCTTATAACTGCAAGATAGATTCTCATTTATGTAAATTGTTTTAGCCGATTTTAAATATAAACGTCAACTTGTTATGTAGACTCTATGCCCACATGCATTTGTTTCCTTCTGGACAAAGGCCGTCAAACGCGGACTTGTGGATAGACAGATAAATATATTAAAAACATCGTTATCGGCATCGCAAACATGTCCACGGATTTTTTTTAACGATATTGCTAACGATACTTTAATTTTATTGATTGTAAGTATAGATCTGCTCTACTCTCCGCCCCTGTCCGTATGAACCTTAATAAAGAGGTCAAGTCAAACATTGTTTTCTGTCTGGAGACGACAATTCTAGAAATATGAGGGTTTTATTAGAAAGCTGTTTGTCCGCTGACTTCCACACATGGCGGCGAGCCAATCAATATGTTTTAGTTTCTGTTCTTATTTCTAATAAGTCTCTATAAAAATTTTAGAATGTTGTACTAAGATGTAGATGTCGCTCCTATCCTTTCAACTGTCGAAGTATTTATTAAAACATGTCATCTCTTTCTTTCTCTATTAAAAACAGAGATAGCAACAAGTTTGTGTGTGTCGTAGTCGAAACAAACGTTTAGAAATAAAGTTTTTGGTATTTTTTTCAATCTCGTTGAAAAACATCGTCTGTAAAATTACAGAACGAACAGTATCAATGTCTAAAATATACCTTAGAAAAAAAAATAGAAACTTGTATATTAGTTTTATCACAAACATCCTGCTGATATATAGCAAGATATATTTTTGACTTCACCTTGTATACTTTAGTTCAATCTAACGTGGTTCATCTAACCTTCTTTAGTAAACCAGTTCATGGTTACAACGATTGCCCTGAACTACTCATGAAATATTTCTTTGAAACTGTCCACACTATACATCTATAAAAAGTAGTATACTAATATAAAAATCCTTGGAAAGTAGAATAAATACATAAATATACGTTACTTTTAAATTAAGACGGATTTTAATTTAGATACCTTATGTCAATATTAATTTTTATTTACTAAGAAAAACACAAGTAAGTCAATTTACTGGTTACGAATTGTAACATTACGCAAAAATAGTCTTTAAAAAAGATTAGTAAATAGCAATTTCGCTTGGCAACTATTAAAGGGATTTATATTACAAAAATTACAGGACACAGCGTTTCGCTCCCTGCTATTGTCGCGAATTACAGCGCCTGTGAAATACTAGCTCACTCAATTTTCTCTCAATCTACGTACAAGAGAGAAGAATATATCGTACATATATAATATTGCTTGAAAATCGATTTTGGTTTCGTTTAACCGTTCTTCTATAACCTCCTTGTTTTTGAAGTCGGTTAAAATAATTTTAGTTACTTCGTAGAACAAGTCATTCATATTCCTTAATATATTAGTGGAAATAACATTATTTTTAAGCATTGCAAATCTATAAACACATGCAAACTATCATTGTATATCGCAACTTAAACAATTTTTAAATTTCATACTAAATATGATTTAAAAAAGTTTTAAAAGGAATGGTCTAAATTCGATAACAAGCGAATTTCTTCCACCTATTCAAATAATAACGAAGTGAGTCGCTCCAGGTAACCTTTCTTTGCCACGGAACGAAGTGGGCCGAGGCCGAGGTGCATTGTTTACATAATCGACTAACGGATAGTAGACTGAATATTCATTTTTATTGCACTATTTATTCTAGCGGAGGCAATTTAGACACTTCTGTTCGTTTTATAATTCATTCAATCCATTTTCTTCTAAACTAATAGCAATTTCTATTATTATATCTAGCTACATCAA